CTGAAAGGACGCAGAAGAAGAAAAGAAAGAAAAACGCGGCCACTCTACTGGTCGAAGCCGCTTTGCATCAGATATGCACCTGCCTGCGATGGAGGCACATGGCCTGGGCACGTTCGTGGCTTCACGGACGGCCCCATCGCACTGATGGGACGGGCGTAATACCTTGCCTCACCTCACCTTACTTGCGTTCAGCCTGCTGCTGAGGGACCTCCTACACTCCGTCGCTGCCGACACGCGCGCAGCGCAGAGACGGCCTGCGTGTCCATGCAACGGGTTGTATCCTTATTTAGAGCTGTTGGTAGACCTTGAGAACCCTCACCACGATGGATAGCTTTCGACTCCGAGTCCCAGCCCAGAAGCTAGCAGCGACACTGCACATCGCAGCTAGATTCGGCAGTTGCGGGTTTTAGGCTAAGCATAGCGCCATAGTATCCTGCTTTTTAGCTTTCCATCCGGGCACAGGCACCCCGTTATTCCACCAGGCCGCTGTGCAGAATCAATAGTTGCATTGCCATGGATGTCGTTGACCTGTATGCAGCTATAACGCATACCTGTTTACATACGACACATGGCGGTGGTACACAGAGTGGGATTGCAGGGCTCCATGTGCCGCTGGCTGGCCATCAGCTTCCATTGAACTGAGGCGTACGCCCGAGGCCAATCTCCCCAAAATTGAAACCTCCCGGCAGCTGATTCGCATGCGATGGGATAATAAAAGCATGAAGTATTGCCCTGAGAGCCAAAATGCCCACACCTGCATGAGCAACCATCATCTGATCCATGAAATAAGATGGACATGGGAGTTCAATACGGGCTCTAAGAACAGCCTTGGCAAGGCAATGTGTGACATCGAACAGACGAGGGAGGCTGTCGAGGCCGCCATGTGCCATTACATAGCAATTCTGCGTTGCACCCTTGCATCCCCCGAAATGCACTTCTCTCAAACCATCACCACCTAAACGATCTTGGGCTTGTATTGAGTCATTGCCCACCCTGCGATGGCCAGTTTGCCTTTTCGTAGTGAGCTAGGGGCGCTGGTACCTGGGTATACATGCACACATCAGAGACATGGGAAAAAAGGAAAGAAAAGGGAGCTGCGCATGATGCCAATAGCCAAAAGGCGGCGTCCATGCAATGCCTGGCGCGCGTGGGCCTCCCTCCCGGTATGACCTTGTCCAACCCTTCATGCGGCTGCCACTGAAAGCGGCATGGCGGCCTTTCCTCTATGCTTCTGGAAACATCCTGTAAGAGCACTAACATGCTAACGGCTGCAAGCAGCTTCCCAGCTGGCTGTGACAGATGAAGAATAGAACGATAGCCGATGCAGGTGTGGCTACCAATCAGCGAGCCGGAAGCGGCGTGTGCAGCGCAGGCTCGCCACTGGGGGGTTCGATCTGGACCATGCTAGCCCAAAGGCTCTTCAACATCAATCGATTCATCGCCTGGAATCCAGATACATTCCCATCGTAGGTACTTGGCAATACAAGGAGACTGCGCGGCGCAATTTTACTTTGGGCGAGGGGGTTGGGACAAACGCCTGGATGTCCCGCTCAGCCCCTAATGCTTGCCCGCCAGGTATTGGGCCAGGTATTGCCTAGTTATGCTCCTCGGGTAGCCAATTACGACCCTGGAACGTGGCAGGGAACTACACGTGGTTTTGTTGCCAGAGAATGAAATCGGTGAGATTATCACGTCGGTCCAAGGTGCAAGGACCACCAGTAGCAGATCCTCCACGCTCGCTTGCTAAAAACAATTTCATTGCCAGCTGACAAGGCTCGGCTCGATGCGGATTCCTTACAGGCTGCCTAAGCTATTGTCTGTGCGACAAAGGAGTGAATTAGCTCGTTACGCCAGGGCTGGATGGAATCTGAAGAGTTGGAATTTATTCTAGATATCTTGTTAGTGGGTCTGGCAGAGAGGTGGTAAAAGCTTTGCTGTCTGGGCTGGAAGCTACTGAGTACCGACAGGTTGGTCGATGTGACAGCTTTTGGATAGCAGCGATGTTACCCTGATGGCCAGCGCTAGGAGACTGTTCACCACAGATATGTCCTTGTAGAGTCATTCTTTGGGACACTTTGCTCATCTTTCACAAACAGCCTCATGGAGGACGCAATTTTGGGGGGCGGGCAGAAAGCACAGCTCGTTGTGTAACACACCTTCCTGGGCTGGGGCCACAACCAGATGACATAAGACCTTGCACACGCAAATCATTGGCATTTTCAATCCTCAGTCCAACAGCTGAATCCGATCAAAATAGCAAATTAAACTATAAAGTAATTCTTAGAGGTTCAAATATTAAACTGTTGTCTTTAATGAGGGTATATTGTATATTTATTGCTGGGTTATTAGACTATAAAGGTGAAGGGCTTGGTGTGCAATGTCTTACTTGGGCCACAAGAATAGAGGCGAAACAGCCCGGGGTCCCGGATAATAGGAAAAAGCCCATGGCCAGTTCCCGTGTCGGTGAATTGACTACTAACTACGGAAACTGGATATCTTGTCTGCAAACACTTCAAATACCGAATCATGAGTGTTGGAACATTCGAACCATCCATTAAGCTTCGCTCTACGGAGAAGGAGTGGGGTGGCTTGGTTGCTCTGTATGCACCCACAAGCAAGCACTTGACAGCTGAATTGGCTATTTGGGTCCGTGTTCCATCGGATGATCGGAGGGCTAGAGTAGTAGCGCGCGTGCAATGACTTTGGGGAGAGGTGTAAGCTCTCCCTAGGCCACTTCTGTACCTGGAAATTCTCTCCATCACCTGCTCATAAAATAGTGAGGGTGGCCGGCGATCCAGAAAGTAGAAAAAAAAGTCATTCGATTATTAGGGCGAATATCGCTCCATGGAGTGACGCTTGGGGGTGATTGGTACGTGAGCTGCCAAGTGGGTGATACAGGAAATGGCACATCCATATGAAGACCCAAATAATCACCAGAACAAACACCCGAATAAACATCTAAATATCTAAATAAGAGCTTGTTTTAAATAAAGACTAGAGAATATCAATATTTAGGCTTTGATATTCTGTTCTTTTATTCTTATTTCAGTATTTCTATTGCTAGCTATGAAAAATAATACCTCAAGCATATACTCTGGAGTATTTAGGTGTGCCATTTCCAATGTCACCCACTTGGCTGCTAACAGGACATCGCTCATAGTAAGCAAAATAGGTGTGTCAAGTGATCGCCGTAGAATGTCCTCTCTATTCGATGTTACAAGGCTAGTGTGATGAAAGGGCTGCATCGGTTGAGTCCGCGATTGCATAGCAGAGTGAGAGGCATTGATGGTGTGCCACCTGGGAAGCAGACGTGGCTGCCTACCTACGAAAAGATGAAACCATCAAATGATAGTCGGTGCCGCTACCATACGGCTTCTCGGTAATGTGCTGCGTTTCGAGTGTAAAGGAGAATCAAAGATAAAACCTAGTATTAGCTAATGAAGGGTCAGAAGCTACGGGAGGATAAAAAGCCGCCTCAGGAGCTGAAACGGCAAGGCGGCCAGACGATACGGTAATACCTCGAGGCTGGTAGGTAATTACCACATCTGGCCCGACCCCATGTATCAGCTCCGCAAAACTCTATTCATGACAACAGCGAGGACGACCAGCGAGCACAATCAGTGCCGGGCAGCCACCGTGGGTCTTGGCCCAGGCATGTGTTTGCGCAGGATGACAGCTCAGACGGCAGATTCAGCTCAAAACGATTTGCCGGGGACCAGGAGGGAGCGATATGCAATGCAAGACACGCTGGCAGCCCAGACCGAAACCTGGATGGTTGGACACCAGGTCCTACCGATTGTTGGCTGAGCCCACTTAAAGAGGAGATGGGAAGGGTGTTAAGCTTTGCCGCCATTTGAGCGGTCGGAGCGACGGTAAAGGCCAGCTGTAATGAGAATAGTTGCTCGCCGCCATCCAGCCACCCAGTCGACTCAAGAATAGGTTCCTTTGTATTCAGATGCTACCTCCCTGGTCGGTGAGAGGAGATGCTTGCATTACCTGCATGGTCGATTGAATAGGGGACGGGACAAAACCTGGAATCTGGTAAAGCGTTCGTGCCATCCCTGAACCCTGCAGACGATACATTCGATGTAGATGGCAGGAAGGCGCCTTCGAGACTCAGTGAGAGGCTGTCCTGAAGCCGAGGAAGGCACCAGCGACGTCAAGAAAACCAACCATGGAGTGGCAGGAGCTAGGACGAGGGGCTCACCTCACCCACCAATAGCGGGGGGTGCTATAGCATCAGTTAACCTGGAGGGTGCTGGACGTGGATGGAGCTGATGGTGGGACAACCTCCCTCACGGCGGCTCGCGTCCTGGCTGGGCTCGTTGGACTAATTAACTAATTTGGCCAAAAAGGAGTCGTTGACGATAATCATCGGACATCGTGGCTCTGGGCCAGGACCGGCCGCTGGGATTGACATACGTCTTTTTTTTTTCTTTTCGTAGCCCCTTTCGCACCTTCATCGCAGACCCTCCCCTTCAATCCGACAGCATACATACATAATTCTTGATACCACCATCCATCCTGACGGACTGACGTATTGTCTCCGCCAAGCAAGGGATCCCACCACACACTAGATTTCCTGGAGCCCACCGCCTATAGCACTGCACTTCTCCAGTCCCAAATCGCTTAACAGCCCTTTTGCACATCACTGGTTCCTGTCGTGGGCTCCATAACCAGAGTCTTTAGTTTCTTGTCAAGGACTATGCATTATTAGGTACACCCCTTGACTCCAGATCCCCGGAATTGAGGTGCAACGACATCCTCGAGTGACACCCGACTGTGCATCGCGCCCCAGACCAGACAACGCCAACCCCCCCAACGACAAGATCATCGGCCGCGGACCAGAGTTTCCAAAGACATCGAGCCGGAGCCCATCTTCTACAGCCGACGGATACACGACGAGAATACATATGGCAGAGTTATAGAGCAGAGCATTGTGAGCGCTAGGACTACAGATTGCTTGGATCGGATTGCGGCACCATCGCCCAACCCGCAGTATGAGTAGCGAGGACAAGGACAATGCGCCTGCTAGCGCAGACCTGCAGAATGTCCCATCTTCAACGGGAACCCCTCTCTCTGTTTCGAGCAGCACAGAAGGCACGCCCTTCGTACCTCTCGTGACTGTGGTTGGATTTCATCATGCGAGGGGCCCTGAAGTGGAGTCATGGTTTGGGGCAGAGGAAGGTGTCGACCCTGCCGTTGAGTATCAATGGTCTCTTTTGCCCTTCATGGCCTTGAGTGACGGTGCGCATGCGTGAGTAACCCTCCAGATCTGCGCTTCTCGGTCACATTGGGAGAAAGCTAACCCTGCGCAAGTTCGGAGGAGGACTTCTCTTACTTCACTCTTTTGAAACCCGAATCAGCCACGGGCCCGGCCACTTCACTGTTCGGTATATCTTGCACTCGACAGCTCGACTCGTCGCAACTTATCAACCGCCCCGCAGACGTCACTCGGTCGACTGTACAAAAGGCGGTAGTTGTGATCGCGGACAACCCTCAGGGTTTTGGCATGCTCCGGGAACGACTCAGCGTCGTCACGCAGGCTTGGTTTGCGCAACGGGAGTTTACTGATGTTGAGATTCTAAAGAGGTTTCAGGAGAGTCTGGCCGAGGAGAAGGTGAGGGGCCTTCTCCAAGGAGAACCAGAGCATCATCAGTACCTTGGTATGAGCTTGCGAGAGCTTATACATGAATTCAAATGGCAGACTCTAGTTCTGCTGAAATGCTGCCTCTTACAACCCAAGGTGAGGGAGAGAGCTGCTTTCCTACTCCAGTCAACCAATGAGCTAATGAACCTCGGCAGATGCTCTTCTTTGGCTCGAGATGCGACCGGCTATGCATGGTTCAGTTTTCCTTGATTTCATTGATCCCAGGCCTGTTGCAGAAGCTTCAAGACTGCGCAGATCCTGAACTCAATACACATGAAACAAAGCTATCGAAACCGACGAGCCTCAAGAGTAGCAATCGCAGCTCGTTGCTTTCCTTCATGGGGCTGCCGTTACAGATATTTGGAAAGGTATGACAAACCTTGTTGCTGGAATGGCACGCGCCTAACCAATTCCTCAGGGTAGTTTGTTCGGACCATATACGCCCCTACAGCAGCTGGATATTCTCGCCGATTTTGGGACTAAATCGTACATCGTGGGAAGCACCAACTCTCTTCTCCTCCAGCAAAAGGACCGCTATAGCGATATCTTGATCAACCTTGACGACAATACCATCAACATCACCTCCACATCGTTGAGGCACGCGCTGGCTTTGACCGCGGCGGACCGTAGATGGATTGACTTCCTCACAATAGAAGTGAGCAATACTTGGGACGACGCAAACCCCAGCCGGCCAAAAACCATGCAGTACGCTGGGAGCGAGGAGTTCATCAGATCCCAGTTCGAGGCCTACATCTTGGGACTGATTTCCTCTGTAAAATATCACAACTATCTTGTTCAACATCCCGATTCCCATCAGCCAGGCGAGCCTGACCCGGCCGTCGACTATGGCCTCGACTGGGTGGAAGCTTGGTCACGCACCGAAAATTATCGTATGTGGGACACTAACACGGACACAAACGTCTTTGCCGTTTCCGAGCCCAGGCATCCCTGTGCCGGTGGGTTGAACATCGAGGACGTCCAGCGACGCATGGCCGAGCAGATCAAGGACCTGCATCTGGATGAACGCTTTGCCCAGGCGGGTGACTTGCTGGGCCGCAACCTCGCACTGGGCCGCGACAAGGCCTCCACCATATTCACCAAGCTCTACAATGACGTGGAACAACTCCGTGAGGCCCAGCGGCGCAGACCCGACGAGGTGTCGGTCACTTCAGAGAAGTCTGGCGTGGTCGAGAAGACCACCGCGGAGGTCCACTCGACCCCCGTCCAAGCAGCGAAGCCACAGCAGACGGCGGGCGCCCGTGCGAGCGCCTACATGTCTAGCTGGGCGACGTGGGCTGGCGAGAAGCGAAAGGCGAGCGGCTGGGGCGCTGGCTGGGGCAAGAAATCCACAACCACCGCCAAGTCCGACAAGGCGATTTCAACGCCCACCAGCCCTATAGAAAAGGACTACCAGATAGTCAAGCCGGCCGGAGATGTCAAGGCAGCGGTTGTGACCGAAGACATCCTGGTCCCTGCAAATGCCAGCAAAGGAGCAGAGACCGAACCGGCGGCCGGAAAGGATGCGGATACGCCACAGGTCGATCGCGATCAAGCTTCCTCCCCCATAGATTCTGCAGTCCCAACCTCCGCTGCAACCGAGTCCCATAGTGCCAACACACCAGATCCCAAAGTTGCAGAGCAACCGGAGGTTCAAGAAGAGGCGGTGCCTGAAACAGCGTCGAAGGGCAGTAGCGAGGAGAAGCTTGCTTCTGCCGAGCCCAGCGCGGCCATCTCAACAACACATACGAACTAATTAAGAGGGCAATACAACTAACTAACTTACTACTAGAAGATGGGTGCATAACGTGCATGGGATATGATTAATGAGGAGGGAACATGGAACATTCAATATAAATAGCAAATTCGAAAAGATGTGTCTTGAACAAAGTCAGGATCAATAGAAGTGATGAGGCGGGATGAAGTCACGGCCGAAACGAAATGAGGGGAGGAAAGAGCGTTGCTACGGAACTGTTTTCACCGCTTCGTTATTTATAAATTCCAAATGGAATGGCCCAATAACGTGTCATTCTCTTGTATATATGACGAGCCCAGTACTCGCCTTTCCTTCTGTGGATCATTGTAGTCATGCTGTAATTCAACTACCTTCGACACGAGTGTGCTTTTGAAGTTGAGTCCCAAAGCACGTGCCCTCCCAATTTTGTAACAGTTTGAAATCAATCTCGCTAGTAGGGCGGTCTATGCCGTCATTGATATGGTGCACGCTGGTCTTTTTCATGGATCCTGGTTGTTCGCTTGGTGATTGTTGCCCGCAAAGACTTAGGTGAAGTTTTTCCATGTAGGGGAGAAGTTCATGTCAAGACTCGTAAATTAATATCGCAGACTACGGGCTGCCGTCCAAAAACCGAAAGAAAAGATCATGCCAAGTATCCAAGCTCATCATCCTCGAGACGCTCCAGGTACTCCTTGTCGAGGAGGATCTCAATACACTTTTTGATATCTGACACCTTGGGGACGAACCGGGATCGGATCTGGTTAATAGTTTCGCTAACGAGTTGTGCGTGCTTCATCTGCTTTCGTGCCTTCATAATACGCACAATCGCCGACTAGATTCGAGGTCAGTTTTGTACTCAGGAAATAGGGGAGAGAAATGGAAAGGGTAATTACCTGGAGAACAAGTTTGCGATCTTCCTCAATAGTCTTGTTCGTCTCAGCCTCTTCTTGCTTAGCCTCCTTGACACCACCCAGGTTCAGATTGACTCTTATCTTTTTGCTCTTGAAGTCGTAGTTGAGCTTGAAGGTCCGGCCAGGACCAGGTTTGTCGCCCCCAGACATCTGGAGAACCTTGGCCTTCAGGATAACGGCGAGAGCTTGGTCCAGGACTTCGCTACTAAGCTTAGTCCCATTCAGCATGTCTTCGTAAGAATGGGTGTCCTTCTCGTTGAACAGCAGAAGAATGGCCATTTGGTAAATTGAGACTTGGAATGTGAATGGAGTCTTGCTGTTTTTGCAATAGTTGGCTTTGATTTCACCCTTGCAAAGATGCCATAGCCACGTTAGCTTTCGACCATCATGCTTCTTTTTGTAGTATCGAGTGAAGCGCTCAATCTCGGCATCAATCTCCGCAGGGGCATGGAAGTCTGTGCTAGGTGGCGTCAGAGGCCAGAACCCTGTGCCAAGAATGGAGAAGGTTGAATCGACGGCCTTAGAGTACTCAACGTTTTCAAGATGAGCACGGAACTCCTTGTTGAAATCCTTGGAGATTTGCATGTCTTGGAACATGCGTTGGAGTTTGTTGGTGTATTCGAAACCACATGCCTCCTTCAACTTGCTAATCATGCTAGTTTCGGCATCGTCAGAGGATGAGTTGCTGTGAACCAAACGGCGGGCGAGCATTCTGGAGTAAAATTTCTGGAAGACATCCTTGTCCTCAATATACTTGAAGACGGTCATAATCTGGCTGAGTGTTCGCTCAAGCTCGGCCTCTTCTATGCTCGTGTTGCTCTTGCGAAGCAAGACATCGGTATACTTGGCCAGGAGCTCAGGTGACTTGCTGGACGATGACTTGCAAACCGCATTTCGGTTTACAAACTCTCTGCATGCATTATCCAAAGATCTCGTAAATTCGGGTTCGTCGTTGAAAGCGCGCTTAACCAGGCCCTGGTACTTGGTGTGAATCTCGAGGAGTGAATCGACGTACACCTTAGGCTCCAACTTTTCACCCTCTGAGGATTGCACTTTTTCGACAGCGTGCAGACCTGCCTTTCGAACATGAGTCTCGAATCGAGTCCGCAGGGGATCGAGTCCATCTTGAATACGTGAAAGAAGGTTGTACATCCTTGCCATGTCCTCCTCGCGATCATTGTCAAGCAGGACCTGGAACTCATCACGCAGGAGGATCGAGTGATCGGCAATCAACGCTTGGTTACAGGTCTTCTTCAGCTGTCCAGCGATATCCTGGTGCAAGTACATGTTCACACGTTCTTGCTCCTCTGTTAATCGAGCCTCAGCCTTCTTCATATATTCGACAACGCTGTTCTCAGCAACAAATTGCTTCGACTCGGCTTGGTAGAATTCCTTGGTGGCCTGGAGGAAGGGCTTCTCGAAATGCTGTCGGTAAACGTCCAGGGTCGACTTGGATGTATCGGCCTCGTCCAGGCCGAGGGAAACGAACGAGTCAACGACCTGCTTGATCTGGCCGTGCTCGATGGTCTCACCGTTTCGCTGCTTCTCAACAAGCTTCAGGACAGCATCCATCACCTTGGACGAGAGCTTCTCGAACAACACCTTACGCCACTGAACCAGATGGAGGGTGTATACGTCGTAAATGTCCTTCTTGCCCTCGTCGATCTCTCTCTTGACCCAATGGCGATTCAGGTAGCGGAAGAGATGGTGGATGTATTTAGCAGCGGTCGTGTAGCGAACCCATTCTTTGATATAGAACGCGAGTAAGGCCTCATCGTTGTGGGACTTCGAGTCCTCTAGGAGATCCTTCAAGTGAGCCTCAAGATATTCGATAAGCTTCTTGTAGAGCTCTTCGCCGAGGAGATGTGCTATTCCAGTGTTAGAGTTTCGGACATCAACGTGAGGATGCAGGATATGAAGGGACTAACCTCCACGGTGGTTTGAGTGCATCGCAGGGCTGCCAAGGCCGGCAGCTTTCTGTGATGTGCAGAAGTTGTGAATAGCACTAAGATCTCGTTAGCCACAGGAAACACCCCATCTCCGAGTGTCGGGGCGATGAGCTTACGTGTAGACACCCATATAGAGATTCATATCGATTCCAGCCTCGAGATCGTTCATGATACGCGAGATGCCTGCCTGCAGATAGTCCCATCTAGAAGAGAGAATTGTTAGGTGCCCATGCAGTAGGAGGGGGAGGGGCAGCGATCCTTACGTTGAACGAATATCCTCCTTGTTGGGCATCGGAGGCATGGTGCTTCGCGAGGGGGCGACTCTGGCAGCCATCTTGACGGTATTGATTGTCGGAAGGATGTTGTTGTACTGCAGGGCCAAAATGGCGGGTTTGGGTCGGAGGGGTTCGACGACCGCAGCTCGGGAGCTTTTTGTTGTTGGTGGGAGGTGGTTTGCTGATTGGTCTCACTGCACACACCGGCCTTTTATGCGTGCTTCGGCCTCGGAAACGTTGCTAGGTTGCGGTGCACCCCCAGGAAAATCGATGCGATCTATATATCTGGATTGTGCGAATGAATGGGCGATCGTTTTATCGTCAGCTGAAACGTGTTGCTGTAACAAGGTGCTGCGACAAGGTACGTATGTATGGTTGGGAGGGGGGACGCTGCTGGAGTGCTCGAACAAAGAAGCAATCGGCACAAGGGCTCTCGCTAGTTCAAATACAATAGAACCAGATCGAACCACCGATTGAACAGAGAAGGAAGAGAACGGGAAGGCCGCTGTGGGTAAGAAAGGAAACAAGAAAGTTAAAAGGTGGAAGTTTGGTCGTGGGTAGGTAATAAGAGGGCGTGAGGCAGAGTTGTGACTAAAGCTGAAGCGCAAGCACGCACTACATCCTGCTGGGTTCCTGCCCGCCAACACTAACTGCTGCCAACAGGCAGGCGCGAGCCAAGGCCATGGCTGGGCTGGTGCCTGCCGCCCGGTCCCCCCAAGGGGCCAAAGCTCCCAGCCCAGTCACCCCGGTGCCCAACAAAGCCTAGCCGATCTTTCTGCCATCTGCGACCGCCTAACCCGATGGTTCAAGTGGAGAAAGCCTTATCCTCATGTGTGCTTAAAATAGACTAGTACCTAGGCAAGTGGGTGAAATAAAATGTAGCACATCGAGATAGTTCAGTACTGAAATTCAATATAATATTATAATAAAAAATCTAGTACTGAATATAATGTTAAGCTAATATTATAGAATCGTTTATTACTCTCCTATTATTCTGTTCTTATTGTGTTTAGTTAAAAATTAAGGTCCCTGTCTTACGCGGAAAGAGCTTTGGTGTGCCATGTTTTATTCCAGCTACTTGCTAGGCAATGCTCTGCTCTCTCAGATACTTGTTAGAACATACTGAAATTCATATTGGGCTCATATCTTGCAGCAATGTTGGCCTTATTGATTTCCCACCAATAATCAAAATCCTATCTACTGTTGCCTACGCTGTAAGGTTCTCGTAATTTAGCTCGAGTCCTCTGCAAGGTAGGCAGCACCGCACTAACAATGGTGACCCTTAAAGGCTGTACACGCCGCGCACATACACAAAGATGGTGGAATGGAAGGATTCACTTCTAGAATACCTATATTAGAGGCTAATTCTACTAATATCGAAATACACTCGCTGTTTGCCCAAAACGAAAAGAAACCAAGAGGGGGAGGGATCCAACTTGCTCAGAACAGCACCAAGGAACAAGAAACCTAATATCGAGGCCGTCACCCCGTACTGTCGTAATCACGTGTAAACAAGAAACGCCACCAGGCTATAGGTAAGCTTCAATAAGAGCAAACACAATCAAGCACCTTCTGACTCATGCCGGTGGACGAACACTCATCCCATCCGAAAGAATCCCAGCCCTTCTAGGAATGATAAGCATCAGTCAGTCACCGAAAACGCCTACAGGGGTAGGAGTCGTTAGGCGCCTCCATCACCCACGCTCATCATCACCACGACCAAGCCGCCCGACCGTTCGGAAAATATTAATGATGAAATTGATTGTCCAAGAGATCAATGCCATCAGCATGAACGCCGCCAAGGCCTTGCCCAGGGCTCGCGCATCATCATTGTTAGATGATCCGTGAAATATCAGAGTGGAGAACGCTAGCGCTGTACTGGCCGACTTGAAGATGATGAAAAAGAGGTCAAGCAAGATGAGTGACACCTTGGAGACAACAGAGCGTAGCCCGAGCGGTTTCCCCGTATACTCATCCCAGATCATGTACGCAATGTAAGGTAGGGCGACACAGTCTACCACAATGGCCATGACAGCCTGGCTCCGTTCTGGAGTCTTCTTATTATCCGAATGTTCCACCAGGTAGAAGATCCTTCCGGCAGCTCCCAATGCGAGAATCGAGGTTACCATGACAATGAGCCGGAATAGGAGGGGCGAGAAAGGATGTCGCATGACAAGGTTCCATATCCTCTTGTAGGGAGCGATAGCCCTTCTCCGTCGTGATGTCTGTATATCCAACGGGTTGTAGGCCCCTCGTACAGGTTGGTCGAAGTTCGGCTGCAGCTTTTCAAGGTCGCTGTGGTTCATAACCTCGCTCTCCTCGCCCGTGAGAGGCCCATATTTGGATGCGTGGATGAAATCACGCCATGCCATTGGGGGGCCTGAGATGGTTGACGGGACATAGCCGGAGACAACAACGGGTTCGGCAGATCGCAAGTGGTCCCATTTCCTTCCTTTCTTTGTTGCGCGGCCGTACCGGAGGATGTGGGGGATGGCGCCTCGAGGTCGCTGGCCCGGACCCAGCTGGGTATCCTCCCAGTCTATAAATCCATCCTTGGACACACGGCGTTTCGGCTCGCTCGGGGCAGAATTACGATGAGGTCGGGTCGTATTAGGTGGGCGTAGGAGATCTAGTTGAGCCTTGGGGGCAGGACCGTATCTCTCTTCATATGAATCAATCCAGGCTGGAAAATGGCATGTTAGCGGCTGTAGTAGATCTCTGACGAGACACTGGAAGGAATCGACGTACGAGGAAGAGATCTCGGAGCGCGGAGCCGTGTCTCGCTTTGCGGAGGGACCGTGCTGCCACTGGGAGCTGTGCTGGAGGGGTGGTTCTCGGAAATCTGTCCGTCGGATGAGTTGGAATGTGAGAAGCGCGACATGGCCGCCGTTCAAAAGGTGGCGCCGCAGGCGCAGGCAGTCAAATCAATCGAATGCGAGTGAAGCGAGATGTCGTCTATTCACGAGGTTCAGAGCCGAATGTGGTTGATGTTGACATATTTTGGCGCGCCCAATTGTCCGAATGAAACTAGCCCTGCAAAGCATGGCACTCGCTAGGAAAAAGAAAGGAAAAAGCGGAAAGGAAAGTGTAGCGTTTCAAGAGAGTGCGATTCGAAGAGAGGAACCTGGCCTGAGACGGGACGGGCCTGTAAGAGAAAAGGGAGAGGAAGAAGAGAAAGAAGTAGGGCGGAAATGCGAGCGAGCGGATGAGAGAGCAGACGAGCTGCTGGCAAACAGGCAGACGCAAATTGGCGATCTACCTCCCTCTCCGTGGGCAGAGCTGCCCGTTCGATTCGCGAAAGACGACAGCGAGCGAAGCAGGTGGATGAAAGAAAAGCTGCCCGTCGCCGGGATCAGGTGGGTAGTGGAAATGAGGTGGGAGCGATCCGTGTGACGTCCTAGACTGCCGTGCCTTGGCCACCGGCATTGCGCGTGCTCACACCACCCGACCTCAACTGTAAATTAGAGTCTACAGGCGCATGTGTAGGTTTAGCTACAGGCTTCGCACAGCGCTATCCGCGGCGCGCCAGCACACCCGCGAGCAATACGGCGGTCCGAGACACCACGTTTCTCCATGGCCATCCATTTCCCCGTGCCATCTCCCACCTAATCTGACCTGCGGTGCCACCCGTCGCGAGCCAGCCAGAAACCTGGTCCGGCGACTATCCCAGCCCAACACAACCCACATGGCCACCTTATCAGCTAGCTCATTAGCTGCGTGGGCCAATTGCCTGGGGTGCTCAGCCGCACACAGCCGCCGCCACATCCCGTCCAGCAGGTCTGGGCCTGTCCTGTTCCACCAGCTCAGGCAGCACTTGGTGGGTAGCTACATCGAGTCCTTGCGTGACATCGACTTTCGTCCATCCAATACGTGAAATAGAAGTCAAGACCATTATCATGCAGAATTAGGATATGAGGGCAAGAGGAAGTCGGGGACGAGGTCTTTACTAACTAAACTTGCACTCATATACATCAATACTTGTGTTCAGCCTTTTGTTAATGAGAACATCGCCATAGTCATTAGATCAACTGTCCTAGAAATGTGTGAATAACCATGTTTAAACAAAGAAGAGTATAATCTATTTGGTCTTAGGGTATCAGGTCAGTGCAACAGGAATACTAAACAGTCGCTCCACCAAGATCCAGTATCGTGGCTTCCTTGAGAAGAACCACGCACACTGATGCTATACTAATAATATTATAAGAATGAAACAACAATGACAGAACAAGCAAAAACAGAGCTTCATCTACAGACGTCCCCCTCCTCTCTCGACTGAGCATCATCATCGTACACACATATATACACACTTTCGTCCCCTGGATTCGTCTCACGAATCTATCACGAGCTGCTCTCCCTCGTCCAAAAGCTCCGTGACCTTGCGAAGATTGCCAATCAGCGCTCGGCCCAGACCAACGAGCAGCAGTTTCTCGGCATTTGCCGGCAGTCCCAGATAGCTTGGGGGTTCGCGCTCAGGCAACTTGTGAATCCAGGACACAAAGTCCTGAACGCCCGTTCCAGACGGCACAACAAGGCTGCTTCCATCAGGCCCATCAACGAGTTTGTGATCCACATCATAGGCCTCGGGAACGAGGAATGTGGACACCAGCTGGCCAAGCAGTTTGAAATCACCCTCATCATCAATCTTGCCACCGTAGGTTTCCGTGACAAGGTAACGAATCATGTCCCAAGGGATATTTGAAGGTGCAATATTGGTCCTGTTGCCAGCCACCACATCAAGCCAGGTATCGGCAATGAAAGCAGAGCATTCGTACTATGAAAGAGTCAGCGCTTGTCAAAATCACACATGAAGATATGGGTTATTCGTTGTACTTACATCGCTGTCGTTGAACTCCCAGAATCCCTTCCAACCAAGATTTGGTGCATATCGCAGCCGTTCCTGAACAACGGCATGCAGGAATGAGAGGAGCAGGTACAGTCTGGTTCTCTCCACAGGGCTCTTGTTGGTTCTTGTCGAAAGTGAGGACATGGAGTCCTTCATGTTGGCCCTGATACCAGCCGGCTGCTCATACATGAGAACACGAGAAGCACGCAGAAGATT